GATGAAGAAATTTTTGAGGAAGAAATATCTAGTGAAAAAGAGTAAAAATAATTATAAAAATAGTTTTTAAAACTATTCTCAAACTTGAGGATATGTTTTGCAATAAAAATCCATTTCATTAAGGGTAAAATTGATTTTTTAACAAAAGACCTAAAATCTTTAAGTTGACCGGCCATTTGTGAAAACCTCCCCAAAACATGTTTAGGGCATATTTGTGTAAAACAAAATTGGATATGTGAAGAAAAATAAAATTTTGGAGAATTATGTGGTTAAAAGGTACGAAAAAGTTATTAGTTCAAGTGTAAAATGGTTTTGCTGAAAATTTGTGTTGAAAATGAGTTTCAAAGAACTATCAAACATGGACTTATTTATATGCCACTGTTTGATGGGGATTAAAATCAGATTTTTAGTAGATTTTGATAAAAAATGATTAAATGTGTCGTTGAAAAGTTGTGGGATCCACAAAATATGTGTGATTAAAATTAATTATTGATTTTGAATTAGATTAAATTATGAATTTTAATCGGTATCAAATAAGAACTATGTATAAATTTAGTTAAAAAAATATTTTAAATTTGATTATAATTACGCGTGTTGGGACTTAGTAGGTATGGCAATGGGACAAGTCTGTCATTGTCATCTTCCACCCCATCGGGCATTATTTTTACATTGCCCCATCTCCGTACCTAGTTAAAGCGGGATCGGGCGGGTCATGTCCCCTGCCTAGTTTACTTGTTTTATTTTATTTTTTTTATATTTTTAGTTAGTAAATATATTTTTTTCAATTTGTTAAGAACAATTCATGTTCTCTTTAAAAATAATAATAAATTTTTCTCCTTATTTGATAAAAAAACTTAAATTTTAAATTAACTTAAATGGAATTGGTTGCAATGCAGGGATCATGTTTTTCATATCCCATCCTATACGTGCTTGGGGACAACGACCCCCCTTCAATCCCGCCCCATTTACCCGATTAGGCGGGTAATTTTTGCCTCATTCTGGTCGGAGTTCCACGAATATTTGAACGAGTTTTTTTTGTCATACCGATTTAGAATAGCTAAAAAACTAATTTTTATTTATTTATTATTATTTTTTGATGAAAATATGGATTTTCACACATTGAGTGGTGAAAATTGGATATTAATTGTAAGTTATGAAATTATTAATTGACTTCGATCTCAAATTTCTAGCAATTTTTAAAACTTTTCAAACAACCACTAAAAGTAAATTTGGAATATTTATCTACATTTTCAACCCATATTTCATTATCTTTTATTA